ATCGAACCTGCGAATTCGATGTTCAAAGTCAGAAGCGTTAACCACTGAGCTATGTACATCCCGTAAACTCTTGTTGCTAATTCATTTTCCTTATTCAACCAACTACTATCAAGTGCAGCTGATTTGCCGCTATTTAAACTCGACAGCGTGGTTGTTGTTGTCAATTCTATACATCCATTTGCTTATTTGCTTTTTTGTATAGTTTCAGGTAGGCTCTTCCTAAACTATGTATTTGTCAATGTTATTGTGACTTATTAATATTTTAATTTTAATATTTTTATTGAGCTTTGTACCACGATTGTTTATTAGGAAAAATTGAAAAAGCAACAAAGTCTAAGCGGTAGAAGTTATAGCACTATTTCGGAGATCACCACATCTCCTCATCAGACTTCTTTTTNATAACTTTTAAATTATAGGTGTTTAAATTTAAAAAGATAATGAAAACAATTGCACTTTTTATTTAATTTTTAAGAGGGGCAAAGTTAATTATGTCATAACTTTTGAAGCGCACCATATTCTGATTTGAAAATTAATGGGCTTATCGTCCCCTGGGTAAAAGATTGTCGTAAGCGCAATTTTTACGATTTTTAGTTCTAGATGCAGTTATATATTTTGAAATAAGGTCTTTCGATTGGTGTTATCAGTTTTCAGATGTCTCCTTTGGTTTCCGAGATTTTGACTAAAATTTTTTCTATAATTTAGTAAAAATTAGTTAGTGATGCAGCCATATTAAACTAATCAGTATCTTAAAAATGACGTTCTCCATTTTTGGATATCTCCTTTAGTTTCCGAGATATTGAGTAAAAAGTGTCGTTAATTTAGTAGAAATTTTGATCACATTTTGTCGTATTTCGTACAAAGTGGCTGCCAAATTGCGGACAAACTCAAAACTAAGTAACAATAAACATTAAAAATTTAATAATTTAAGAGTTTTGTGAACTAGTAACATTTTCAGAGACTTTGGAGAAAATCTATCTTCGCGTTTTTGAGAAATTGTATTCCAAACTTCAATCGCGATTTCCCACAACCTACCGAAATTAACATACGAAAATCTTTTACCCAGGCGACGTTATGTGTGTGCTTCATATCGTCGTTTAAAGTACAAAACCGCGTATCGTCATTCTGCAAAACCGCGTAACTGACATTGGCTGCCAAAAATTGGATTTGCTCACAGAAGCTCTAGGCTCAATCCTTATCTATTCTTCCTGAAATATACTAGCCAGAAATGCGATTTCTTTATAAAAAAGATAACCATTTTGAAATATGAGTGCTTTTACGCTCTAGAAAATAATTTCTACAACTTCACATACGCGGNGTACAAAATAAAGAATGCAGCTGTGCTATCACTTCGTGCGTATCATGGAAACGCCAAATTGTGTGTATTTTAGACATTTTTTGCATCACATGCCGAAATTGTAATATTTTTTCCTTTTTTAATTGCAAGTATGTACACAGTATGCAACTATACCCGCCTTTAACCTAACTGGGAAGACGCATACATTCTTACCTAAATTTGTATATACATACGCCTAATTCTGTGCACTTGACGATTTAACAGAAAGTTGACAAATAATCAAGATTTTTATCAAGTTTAAAACTTTTCGGCATTCTTGGCATAACTTGATAAAAGTAAAAAGCTTTTACACCCTGTGCTTTTCCCCACACTATGGTGAAAATCGTAATGTAAACCGAGCTCAGCTGTTTAGTGCAAGAAACTGGAGTCCTCAAAAACGTAAGAATTTCAGTTTTATATTACTTTTATATAATATAAGCTATTTAAATATTTACAGAAAAACAAAACACGATCGTGCTACGCAGAAGCGGTTGCAGCGTTTTGTCTCATTTGTCTGCGCTAATATGGGGAAAGGAAAGAATAACCCGAAGTCGCCACAGAAAATGCAGTGCTTATGGAATCAGTTGGCGGACGAGTTGAATGCATTGAGGGGACCAACACGCACCGCAGTAAAGTGGAAAGAGGTAATTTATTTTATCTCAGTTATTATATGCTTATACATGTATGTATATGAATGTATGTACATACATATGTACATTAATATATATGAATGGATATCGTTGTTTAATGTTGCCATAATTTTAGACCCTCGGAGTTTGGAAGAGCCAATTGCGTACGCGAGCACGCAGATTAAANATACAAAATATGTTCGAAAGTTTTTCTTACATGGAAGAAAGTGCGTAACACCATCAGCAAACAATTTTTCAAAAATCATCAGGATCTTTTAGCAGTATTAAACTTGCACTTTAGAATATAAAATTAAGTAGGCTATTTATCTTTTCTATAAATTCTAATTAAAACGTTTGTACTTTTGATGAAACTTTGTTAAATTTTTCTATTTTTTGCATAAACTTTAAAGTTTCGATTTTGTTAGATGAGTCATACTTTTATAAAAAAATGCCAAATAAAATTCCTAATTAAAAACATTGTGAACATATCAGAAACATCACTGTACAATTTAGAGTTTGAGTCGAGTAGTTCATACTTCAAAAAGTATCATACATACATATGTATCAATACATACAGTGAAGCAAAATAACCTGCGACGCGACATTTTATCAAGTTTTGGTTATTTCTCTTTCGCTAGTTTAATGATTAATATTTTTGTATGAAAGTATAGCTGATTACTTAACANTGCAAAATAACCTGCGACGCGACATTTTATCAAGTTTTGGTTATTTCTCTTTGGCTAGTTTAATGATTAATATTTTTGTATGAAAGTATAGCTGATTACTTAACAAAAACCATAATTCCAAATTTCCGACTGTGTACAAAAATAATGAAAGCTTGCAAAATTTCATCAAAATTTCTAATTTTTTATCAGAATCTTTAGAAAAAATGTAGCTTTGGGGTCCATTAAATTTGAGTGAATAAGGTCAAATTTGAAGTAGCTCGGACTTAGGGTTGATTTTTTGTAATTTTTTTTTTGTTGACGGTGTCACGCATTTTTTTCCATAGACATTTCCTCGAACATTTTTTAATATGGAAGAAAAATGCGGAGCACTGTCAAAAAAAAATTGCCAAATATCAACGGCAAGTCGTAGTTACTTCCAATTTGTACCTTATTAAACTCAATTTTAATGGACTACAAAGCTGCATATTTTTTCTAAATGTGCTGATTGAAAAGTTAGAAATTTTTGGTGAAATTTGGCAGAGTTTTCATAATTTTTGCAAAAAGTCTAAAATTTGGATTTATATGTTTTTAAGTAATACTTTCATAAAAAATATTAAACATTAAACAAACTTAAGAAAAATAATTAAAACTTGCTAAAATGTCGCGTCCCAGTTTATATTTGGTTCGGTGTAAGTACTTTAGAATGATAATATAATAACTTAAGCAAAATGTAATGTGATTTCACTATAATCTTGAACTGTAAACGTAGTTCGTAACCCATTTAATTTGAGTGTAATAAAGTACTTTTGTTCAAAGTGAAGTTTTTTTTAATTTTTTTCGTGAATAAGAATTGGATTATAGTGTTGAAGTATATCTCGATCTTGTTCTCTCTCCTTCGTGGGTATACTGCGAGGAATCAAGGGAATTCATTGCCGAATCGTTATCATCTACGACATCGTTATCTACCTCCATCGCTTCAATGCCCGCTTTTGTCATTATGTTGTGAAGGATGACACAACTCGCAACAATGAGTGATGTTGTTTCGTGGCAATAATGAAGCACTCGGTACTTTAGCAAACATCTAAAGCGGGACTTGAAAACTCCGAATGCTCTTTCTATGCCGTTCCTAGCAGACGCATGCAATTTGTTGTATTTGACTTCTTTATCATGGCTCCAAAGGGTAGCCTTGATCACCAATAAGCCAAGATTCTCTTTGGTGAACAGTAGTCCTGGTATGCTGACGTATTAGTTGCTCCCGTAGGTCAGACGTTGCCCGTATCCCGGAATTATGCGTCGCCCCAGGAAATTTTGTGTTTAGGAATGTAAAGCACAAACGATGATCGCATACCTATGAAACCAAACTCATATAAATTGATTTTGTCAAAGAAATTGTAACCTACCGCTTCGACATTAATGCTGTAGAACCCCTTTCTGTTTAAATACAACCTAAGCGGGCGTTCTACATTGTTAGAAGGAGGAGCAACAATAGCGATGTGGGAGCAGTCATTTGCTCCTACAGTGCTTTTTATTCCAAACTTTCGAAAAAATCTGATAAAACACAAGATTTCAGATGACACTGTTTTTCTATAAAAGATAATTCGCTTTTAATACCCTGTTTTAATTATGGTTTCTTCCTAAATCGAACTGGGAAACTTAATTTCTCCGCCTTTAACCCTTGTAATGAGCTTTGTCACAGCCCGCAAACTTCTTGAAAAGGACGACTGGCTCATTGGCAAATTGCAATTATTTCCCACGCATTTCTGATATAATCTGTTGCCAAAAAAGTTTAATACTGCCAAGACGCGTACAGTAAGAGGCAATGAGGTATTTTGGTCATCATGCGGTTCCAAATCAATAATAAGACTCCGGCACAATTGGCGGGTCAAACGGAAGTGTTGCATGAACACGTTCTCACTCAAGGAAAATGGATCACTGGCATCCCTCAAGGACCTTATATAGCGCGAGCGGTCTCTATTTTGTTCATGTTCCTCTTCTTCCCACAATAATAGTAAAAGAAGCATTTCTTCTTCCATTTTTAATAATTAGTTAACACAATTTTGAAATGTTTGAAGCAGCTTTAAAATTTAAATTTGAATCGTTCAAAAATTTGTTTATTTGTCAAACGCATTTGACTACTTGACGATTTATCAAGAAAAAAGTTTTTTATTATTGACATAGAATACGAAACACTTGATAAATTGTCAATATTGATAAATAAACAAGTTGGCGAATTTATCAAGTGCACAGAATTAAGCTGTTAGTTCACTTTTGGGGCCGCTCCTAATCTATACTAATATATATTTTGAAAGCCGTTTTTTTCNTTGGCGAATTTATCAAGTACACAGAATTAAGCTGTTAGTTCACTTTTGGGGCCGCTCCTAATCTATACTAATATATATTTTGAAAGCCGTTTTTTTCTGTTCGCAAAGCTCGAGATCGGCTGTACCGATTTTTTTGAAATTTCGGTTATATTTTCTGGATGATCTTCTCATTGTCTTAGGCAAAGTTTAAATACTTCCCTAAAAATGTAACTGCAGGACTTTAAAAATCCTATGAATCTAACATACATGCCCACATAACAGCGCTGGTCAGAGCTGAGAGCGCTCTCTGCTGATAATTTTTACGGAATACAGCGCAAAGGAAGGGTTATGTATACATATGCATATGTGCTAATGGGCACGTTCAGAAGGCGCAACAGCTCAGTAATTGTAGCGATTGTAGATGATCGTAAAATAATTCTGATCATTTGAGACAATCTGTTGTGTGTTGTTGAATTTGGCAGCTAATGTATCAAGCCGTTCAAAAGACGCATTACAATCACTGATTTTTTTTAGTAACGGATGCGCTCAACTGCTGCGCCTTCTGAACCTACCCAAAGTTAACGTTAATGTTGATTATTTTGTTAAAATAAAATTATAGTTTAAAAAACTAAAACCTCGCTGTTATAATTTCCATTCTTACTGTCATCAGGTATGTAACTTGAGAATAGAAGTCTCTACATCGTTTAGGCGCATCAATATTACATAGCTACATCCCGAGCTAATAAAAGGTAGGTAATAAAAACAAATATGTACAGTTCATGGAGAAATAATGTAGACAATTATGTATGTATGTAGAGTCGTTTATGTTGCCACAAGGACCAACTATATAGACATATGTATGTATATAATTACGTATAAAAACCCTGCTGCTATGTTGTTTTGTACGTAAGTGAGTGCAATATTAAAAGCAGCAATGTATATCGCAAAGCTCGAGAATGGCTGAAGCGATTTTTTTTTGAAATTTCGGACGCCTGCTGCAGACGTTCAAAGGATGGCTATCGGCTAACAAAAATCTCGATATATAAAAAGTGCGTGGAACCTCGCATTCGAACCGAATTGTTCATACTCCACACTCTGGAAATGTCCATGGTAGAGTTCTGGAACTTGATATGGAGATATATGAAATCCATCGAATACTCTTGGAGAAAAATTGAAGCTATCAGAAAAGAGGGCGGGGCATCTCCCATACATACCGAATATTCATACTGCATATCTCTGGAAGTGTTCATGGTAGAGTAATGGAACGTGGTATTGGAAAAAGTGGACCTATTGGAAAAGGGGGCGTGGCAGCTCCCTTTCCAACCGAATTTTCCATACTGCATATCTCTGGAAGTATTTATGGTAGAGTATTGAAACTTGGTAAGGAGATATACGAAATCCATCGCATACTCTTGGAGTAAAATTTGAGCTACTGGAAAAGAGGGCGTGGCATCTCCCATACAAACCGAATTTTTCATACTGAATATCTCTGGAAGTGTTCATAGTAGAGTATTGGAACTTCGTATGGAGATATATGAAATCAATCCCATACTATTGGATAAACATTGGAGGTATTTGAAAAGGGCGCGTGGAACTTCCTATATAAACCGGCGATTTCGTACTGCATATTTCTGGAAGCGTTCATGGTCAAATTTTTGAACTTGGTACGGAAATATATGAAAGCAACTGGAGTTATTAGAAAAGGGGCGTGACACCTCCTATACAAACCGAATTTTTCATACTGCATATCTCTGAAAATATTCATGGTAGAGTACTGGAACTTGGTGTGGAGATATATAAAATCAATCGCATATTCTTTCAGAAAAATTGGAGATATTGGAAAAGAGGGCGTTGTACCGCGAATATTTCATACTGTATATTTCTGGAAGCGTTCACGGTAAAATTTTTGAACTTGGTACGAAAATATATGAAATCAAGCACATACTAATGGAGAAAAATTTTAGTTTTTGGAAAAAGGCGTGGCACCTCCCATATAAACCGAAATTGTCATACTATATATCTCTGGAAATGTTCACGGTAGAGTACTGGA